CTTGCCTGTTACGCACAAGTCTACTGCTGTTTACAGGCTGTTGGCCGCTGTTTTTTCCCTTTTACTTACTTCCAAAAAAGAAAGCCTCATTTCTGCTGTTCAATACTGAACAAATTTAAACTTTAAAATTATGCAAAATTGCAAAACGCTGTGTCTCTAATAAAACCTCTGTAACTTTGCTCTGCTTCACGTCAGCAGCATCAGGTAACGTTCATATGTTGATTAATGGTTTTCTTTTGTTTTTGATCTACTGCAGAATATTTTTATAAAATCCCAGGCCAGGAAATCACCTTCATGTTTTTCTGTGTTTTATGCTCAGACATCTGCTGTGATCACACCTTTGACAAAGTCCCACAAGTGTCAGCTTTCTTTTTATAGATATTATAATTCAGATAATTTTATATTTCTGACTGTCTGAGGCAAAATTTCCCCGATTCGAATCAAATCAAATTGAATCGAATCGTGGATCGAATAGATTCGGGACCTTGTGAATCGGAATTGAATTGATTCTAGAAATCAGTGATGATACCCAGCCCTAGTTGGTGTTTGGCTCACAGTCCAGTTTATTGTCTAGTAGGAACCCCAGATATTTAGAACGCGAGTATCCCTACAGATGAAGATACTCCAAATTGTCATTCCTGTGGCGTTCAAGAAGACGAGGACTTTGTTTTTGAAGCCCTTCAGTCTCAGATGCCATCTGATGGTTGTGGGGCTGCAGCTACAGTAACTGCCTTAATCTGAGTCGAGGATTGTCCAGTGTCTTGGCGGACAGCCAATTGGATCCTCCGGCTCAGGACTGGTGACATTTTCCACTTGACTTTTTCGTTCCATAACCCTCAGGATCATTTAAGAAATTCCAAATGACTGTCTTCCTGCAACCCACCATCCCAGCAGTGATGGCGTGCTGCAAGAGACCCTGCTTGTGCAGCTGAACAACGTTCAAGAGGGGAAAGTTTCTTTACCTGACAGAAAATGACAGTGAATCCAGATTTTTTTTGCACAGATTTACAGATTTGGCCTTTTAAAGGCATGAGGTCCTAAACTGTAAAACAGCAAAATATATCAAAATAAATATTTTTCAAGGTAAAAGAGTGCAAATGCATTTATAAAAATAAAAGGAAGAAAGAAAGAAGGAAAATGAAAGGAAAATAAAATTAAAAAGATGTTTTTTCTACTGGGTTACACTCCTGCATTAAGTCCAGATGGGTGGGTGTTTGATGCTACAAAGCTGACTCGGAGCTGTAAAATCCTCCATGAGTATGGTAGGGAACAGATTGCATTATTTAATTGTAATAATAATATAGCTTCATAGTGATTACACGACATCAAACTACTTGTTCTCATTGCTTAATAATGCAGTATAATCATATAGAAATAAAAAAAATCTGAAGTTGTGCGCTATTTGAGCATTTTGCCTTCCTGCAGCACCAAAGGACTCTGCGAGAGACATCTGTCTCGCCCCAGCAGCACCTGTCCCCGTCCTCCTCTTCAGTTCACCTCAACATAAGCTCGTCATATTCTGTGATATGATTTACTCTGAGGTGTTTGATGAGGTCAGTGGTGTTGCCACAACACCTCACTGTCTTGACACATGTATCGCAAACCGCGTCTGGGCTGTTTGCGGAGGTAAAATACGTCCACACAGGACTCCGTTTACGCTCAGCCATTGTTGTGAGTGCGCACGCCAGGGGCTGGACACATTTACACAACTGTGTTTTGCACATGACTATGAAAGGCGGAAGAGGAAGTAGTTCCTTCCAATTTAGATGATCCAAATGATATAGTTTCTTTCCACTGCGTTCCTTTTAATGGGAAAAACTACAAATTTACCCCAGAGTACTAAAATATCGATATTTTAATATGAGAATCAATTCTAGAACATAAATAACTGGTATCTGAAGAATCGATATTTCAATATCGATCCGCACACCACTAGTCAACACACAAAGACACAAAAATAATTGGTTGATGTGTACATTTTCTAAAGTATCAGCAGTGATTTAATAACTTTATGACCTCTGCGAAAATAATTTCCACATCATTTACTGTATATAATACAGCATTCAGGGCCTTTGTATCTTATCTTCTGTACCTTTACCACACGTTTGACTAGCTTTAGATACTGTACAAATTCTACTGATTGAAAT